TGTATTTCTGGTTTGTTTGCTTTTAAAGCAACCCAGCCAGGACCCTGAGGATTCTTCATGTTCTTCAGCACAGCGGAAACTGAACAGGCAGTTTTACAGATTCATTATATTTCCTGGCAAATGGATTAAAGTCTGGTACGATCGTCTTACCTTGTTGGCATTGCTGGACAGGTAAGCTTTTTTTTTTTTTTTCTATCTACATTTCACAGTGGGTGGCTCCACATGTCCATACAGCAATGCAGACCACTAGAGAAGGAAAAAGTGTGCATCGTATTAGTGTCTTATATTCAGGTTGAGTAGATAGATGCTTTTGTTTGCTCTAAGTTGAAGAAAATGTTTTTTCCTCAGAGCTGGTTTTGATGGTTCTTGCTACCCTTCCTCTTCAAGCAGAGACTTTGATTCAAGTGATCACCAAACCTGTAGTATAGTCTTTAATTTGACTCTCAGCTGTTGGATCCAATGGTTCTAAGCTTTCTGATGAGAAAATCAGGTTTTTGTGCAAAAATACAGACATGGAAGTGTCCCAGGATATTTTAAACTGAATACTCCAATCTAAAAAAAAAAAGAATTAGAAAGTGATGTTCAGGAGGGGATCTTTCAGCTGCTCCCTCTGTTCCAGTACATGTTTATTTGTTTAGGAAAACTTATTGTCTTGGCATCTCTCCTTTTTCTAGTCCCTCAGTTTAGTTTGGCATCGACTCTTCAGGCAGTGCCCTTTGCTATTAGACCTTGTGCAGTAGTCTGCCGGACTACTAAGAGCTTCAAACATGTTAGCCTACATACCCAATGTCTCCTGGCCCTCTTATCTCTGCTTTTGGGTGGGTGCTATGCCATGCGGTCTCCACAGCAAAAATTTCAGGTGACAGTTTTACACACTGCAGAAATCAGACTGTATAGCCAGGAAGCTTAGGTCCAGAGCAGATATTTACTTATCTGTGATGTCTTATCTCTGTGTTTCAATTGCCTGGAAAGCATCTACTGATAAACTCTTTTGTTATAGCCTGAATATTAACATTCATTTTTTATCTCAGCTTCCATGTTCTATTAGAACACGTAAAACAAATAAAACATTGGATGACAAATTTGGTCTTTCATCTAATTCTTTGTTGTCAGATGTATATTTTTCATTAAATGAATGCATTATTTTCTCATTTAAAAGCATTTGGGTTGTGTTTTTGTTAACAAACGTGTACTTGCCTACATTCAAATCAGCTCTACTGTGAAATTCTATTTGGGAGGTGAGATTGGAGGGTGCTGGACTTCAGTGCATATGCCTTTTTTCTATATATTTTAGGTATCACAGTGAATAAGGTCTTTGGTACAGGGTTGAAGAACCATTGAACCTGGAAATGTCGTTTTGGGAGCAAAACCTCAGATTCTGTACATTATGATAGCTCCAGCACTGACAATTCATACCAGCTGTAAATGGACCTGCCTTGCTCTGATGGATATATAAATATTTGTACTTTTCTTAATGCTTTTATTCATGTAGGACAGAAGATATAAAGGAGAATGTGTTTGCTGTCCTTCTAGTAGTTCTTGTTTCACTTCTTGGATTCCTGACTCTGAATCAAGGTTTCTGTAAAGACATTTGGGTTCTCTTGTTCTGTCTTGTGATGGCCAGCTGCCAGTATTCTCTCCTAAAGGTAGGGCACAAGTTCACACCCAATTGCTGAATTCTTTTCTAACTTCTAAGAAGGCAAAATCCTGTAAGCAAACTTTTTTTTCTGGGTTTTTTTTTTTTTTCAGAGCGTTCAGCCTGATCCTGCTTCACCAATACATGTAAGTCTCTGCCAGTAGAACAAGTCTTTCTCCTTTATTCTCACTTGTAGGTTGTGAAACAGTTGGCTGTTCAGTGAAACACAGGTATAAGTAGTTTGCTATTTTACGTGATTTATGAAAATGAGCAAGATTTGTCTGTGATTTGAGACTTCATATTATGTTTAGTTAATTTTAAGCTATTTGAATTTATCACTGCTATTAGAAAAGTGCTTTTTCTTTAAGCTAAAATATGCCACAAAAACAAATGCATCTGGACTAGTTTGCTGAAATTCAATCCTGTGGCACCAGACAAGCTTTTTCTTTGCTTTCCTTTAAAAACAGTGACTGAAAACAGCAGAAGTTCCAGACTAGCAGCTCAGCCATTGACCAGTTGGGCTTTGTTTTTTTTTGAGATTGGGGATTGATTTTATTTTTTAATCTGGTATTGCAGATATATTTCTCAATATCATTGTTAGCTCATAAATGGCACAGGTGTTTTCCCTTTGTTATAATATGGTCACAGTTTCTGTGGTTGTGTCCTTAAGAAATGGCCAAATCCGTGGGTGAATGCAGGCTGTAGGGATCTTTGCTGTTTGCTATTTGTTATTGAGTATAAGTGAGAAACTGAACTCTGCCAGTGACAATCACCTTGCAAGGAACCAGTTCCTTACCCAAGCCTGTCCTCATTATAGGACTGGTTTAGGAGCATCATCCTAAAACTGCAACCTGACCCCTCCACCTGTCAGTTTGTCTCAGCATTTTTGATTTCTGGATCTTGGGAGACATTTCAGTAGTCATGAGGTCCCTTGCTTTACACTGGCTGCTTAGTTGCTCACATTTCTTATTTAGCTCTTTGAATGGTTTTGAGGACCCCCTCTCTCCCTCAGGGTTCAAAACCAGCATGTTGAAAATTGCATGTCTGATGGATTATTTCCTGTTGGCAGGGAGCAATTATTTTTGTCAGTTTAGAGGCTAGAAATACAGGCTGAACTTGAAATTGAAGTTATTGACAAGTGTACGCTACGCATTTCACTGAGATGGGGTTCAGAAGATTCTTAGTTTCTTTTCCATGCCAGTTATTATGGGGTGAACTTCTGGTATTATTGGTTATAATGCATTCATAGGAAATACCTGTCTGCATAAAAAGTAGGGAAGGCTAATAAGTAGCAGTTTACACATTGTAGGGTAATATTGTCAACACATTAAAGAAATATTCCTACCTCAGTAAACAGTTAGGTTTTGGGGGTACTAAAAGAATATTATTTGTCGGTTCAACTAGCATGTGTCCAGAAATAATAATGTGAACTGTAATCAAGTAGTTTGCATTTATTCAGACATTAGTAATCTGTACATTTGTTTAAAGTGGGTGGCAAACAGTTTAATTAAAACTTCATTGCAAACCTATCTAGCCCATATTTTTTGTAGCATTAAAGACAAAGTAGCTAATGAAGTTTAAACAGAACATCTTTTGTGGAGAATCCAGGTTTGCATTCCAGGCTCCACCAATATTATTACAAGTATTATTCACTATATTATATTCTGTGTCACACAATAGATGTCTTCCTATCTTCCATATACTTTCCAAAATTTTGTTTATCAGGGACGTTTTCTTGCAGACTTTTTGGTGCACCATCCGAGCTCCAGTAGAAATAAAATTTAGAGAGTTTTTCCTCAGAGGGTTTTAAATCTGGGAGGCACTATAGACCAAGTTAAAATAGAAGATTAGCTGTTTTTACATTATATCTTTTTAACACAATAGCTGTTTGTAAAGCCTTACTTCAGCTAGTAAGCACCATGAAAAATAAGACAAGGAGGCAAGAAAAGATAATCCATGGACTGTTTCATAATTCATGTAACTACATTAAAATTAAAGAGAATAACATCTCTTGATGTTAATGTAAGGATGCAGAACAGCAGAAGGATTAAAGAATGATCAGTACCATGTCCATGAATGAAAATGCAGATGAGAATTTTCAGTGTGAAAGAAACAATCACGAGCCACAGATTTGCACACTGAATTAATTTCTATGCTTGAATCCATGAGTAGCTGCTAATGCCTTATGTTATCCATGCCTGCTAAGCAGGTTCCAAACTTCTTCCCTGTCTCACAGGCAGATGTTGTTACTGTTTGATGTGACTTTGTCACCTCTAGCCTGTACCATTTTGAATGACTGCTTTAAAATACGATCCAGGGAATTCAGAAAGCACAGTGCCTAGGGATGCGTAAAGCTTTTGTTCTGAACTCTTTCCGAGTACCAGTGTATTCACTTCCTGGTGTTGAGGAAGAACTGGCTGACTAAATGCTGAAAAGTCTGGTAGTCTGGTACAATTTTATTGGAGAGAAGATTATTTCTTGCCCCATAGGATGCTGTGACAGCTGGGGTCTCTGAGCTGAACGCTGTATTGTCTGTATACCATCATTGTGGTAAGAGATGAGTTTCAGTATACAGAGAAGAACCTCAGCTAATGTTTTGAATTTTATATTCATTTGTACTAATTTTATTAAATTGTGATAATAGTTCTGTTTTGATAAGCTTTGATGTTTAAGTTGGAACTTCCTGGGTTCTACAGCTAATGCTGCCTACTGGTGTTTATTGCAGCTGCAGGTTTAGTCCTGTTGCCTGCTACAAGATGAGAGCCTGATTTTCCTGTCAGGCTGTGCTTCAGCCTTTCCAGTTTTGCTCCATTGGGAGCTGGTGGCCTTTAGTTGCTGTTCACCCAGTGCTTCTGGGATGGTGAAATTTGGCAACAGCCTCCTCGCTGGAATAGTGGGGGGACAAGAAAGTAAAGTCCCTGCCAAGTGTGAGTTGTATTAGCTTATTAGCAGCAGAATATAAGGAAGGTGCCAATGACTGCAATGTATTAAATTCAAAGATGCAAGAGGTCCTTGTTGTGTGCATTTCAAGGTTTTAGACAAGTGGCTTTGCAGAGATTCTTGAGATTGGTTAGAGGCAGCAGCAGACTGGGCAATAAAGGCTGTGTCTGTAGTAAATTGCTATATAGAAGGATCATGAGAGCTTCTCTGTAAGTCCCTCATAAGACACCTGTATAGCTCAGGATCTAGCTCAGGTTTTCAAATGCACTTGAGCTTTGAAAGATTGCTGTTATGCTCTTAATAAGATCTACAGAATCTCTTGCATAACTTCATTGTCTCAGTCCCATTACCTGCCAAAGCATATAGCTGACTCAGTTGGGCAGCTACCATAGGCAGTTTCATAAATCCCGTAAGGCATTTTAAAAGTATCTTTAATTTGTCCCTGTAAGCTTTTCTGTGGAATCAAGCACATACACTTTTATGTAAAAGCCTTCTGTCTTTTCCTCTTGGATGTGTGCACACAGAAACAACAAAATCATTAGATTTTTCTGAAATTTCCCCATCAAAATGCTTTGCAATCCAAAGTGCTATTTTACTAATGGGAGTGTTTGTGAAATCATTCTAGTTTTGTTGAAAATCTTAATATTTTCATCAGAATAGGAGATGCACCAATGCTGCATTTGTAGGATGTAAATATGTTTCTAAAACATCCACAAGAAACACGAGCCTGAAAAAGTCAGTGGCATTTTTGGCAGACTTAAGGGAAAGGAAGAGTTTTCACGGAAACTTTTATCAGTGCAGAAAAAAAAAATGATTGTTCAACAAGCTAGATATAAAAGGAATCCTGATTCATTATTCGTATTCTTCTGAAGAAGGATGTAGAGCAGAGTAGTTTCACCAAGATGAAATCAGTTTTGTATGTCAAAATGGGATGGGTTTGTCTGGTAGAACAAAATGAGCCCTTAATATCTTGTTGATAAGTTGTTCTGCCACGTGCCCATTTCGGTGAAGGGCTGCCTGCCTTGGCCTGTCAGTGGCAGTCACAAGAGGTCTTCATGATTTTTTTTTTTTTTCTGAAACCTTGAAAAGAGGTAATGTCCTCCCCTCGGCTGCAACTTTCAGGAGGCGATGCACCGTCCCAGTGATCTTCTCTTCTAGAAGGTGTCCGCTCGTGGCCTCAAACCTGTCCTGTCCTGAGTAATCCCCTTCACACAAAGGATGTGAATGACAGTGAAATACAGCACTAACACTCGCAGCAGTTCCTCTTTCTTGTTTTGCCAGTTTCCCAGATGTGGGGACCGGAGCCTGGGAGGCTCATTCAGCTCAAGCACATCCCAAGCAATGCCAGAGCTCTGCAGCCAGTGTCCTTCCAAGTGCATCGCTGCTCTTGCTTTGCTTCTGTTGATCCGATAGTAGGCAAGGTTTCCTTTTCAGGATTCTGTCTCACTTCCCGCCACCACCTGAAAAATAAGGAAGGTGGTATTTGCTCACAGTTGGCAAGCTGTTCAGACAGCCTTTGAAAGCTGCTTCCACAATCCTAACTAGCATTACTGTTATTAGCGTGGTAAGAGTGATTTATTTGGAAGTACGAGTTAAATATACACTGTAAACCTAATTAAGTATGTCGGTTCTCTGGTTGGAACTGAGAGGTGTGTGGAGCTAAACCTCTGGACTTCAAGTCATCAATTCCATCTTACCCAACTGTTTTCAAATAATTGTCATGTAAAGATAAAACCTGGGTCCTGAAATTCAAGAGATCAGACAAGAATGTAACATCACAATAAAATAGACTTTGGTGTGGAGTGCACATCAGGCTATAAATCGTTAAGCAATTGTTTAGATGGAATATTTACTGGTTTATTTTCCTAAGGCACAGCACACATTTAAGATAAGTGAACTGAAGTTTAAAAAAAAGCCAGAAAGTAATATTTTAATTTATTTTTAAGTCAGATTTTTATCTTTCTAATTCTCCTTTGAATTAGTAAAATTGAAACTCTGATTAAACAGCTGGGATTTGTCAGTCTGACCAGACTCATATTCCATGGATGCTAGGTGCAGTATAAGCCCACTAGTTCCCTGCAATCTGCCACCTTGTTAACTGAGTGATCCCAAAAGAGACTACAGATCAGTTAATAGCAATGCTAACATACGAACTTGGCTGGCAGCCAAATAAATACGGCTGCTGTTTCAATCAGTAAGTAAATAAGTATTTTCAAAAAAGAAATTATATTTTATTATACTCACTTAAATTACATTTTATTGTATATAAGTTGTATATATTGTAAATAAGAAGTTTCACAGTAACTTTGTGCAAGACAAACTTGAATCTTTGACACTTTGCTCCAGGCTTTTCACACTCAAGGAATCTTTTGACTCACCAGTGTTTAAAATGTCTTATTTACCCTTAAGCCTGCTACCAGGGGAACTATTAAGATTTTTCTTAAGTGTCTGTTATTCTCCCTGGCCCACAGCCCCACGGCAGTGTTTTGTGGGATTAGTGTGAATCAATCGTGTGAGAGATGTGTATGAAGATGTAAGATAAGGATCCTTCTACATGTTAATTCACTTGGATCATAATTTCAAGCTGCTGCATGAGAGAGAGACCAGAAACTGCTGCTGAGTGTCACCCTCTCCAGGAGGGATACTGACTTGCTGTGGTTCAAATCAACAAAAAAAACCAAGTGGTTCAAATTAACAAAAAAAAATTGCATCGGTGCAAAAAAATCAATCTCCATGCCTCACACTGCACCTAGGAGGTGCTCTACTATTTTTTTTTACTTTCCAGGATGCAATTAAAAATTCATTTTATATTTCATTAAAAAAAGAAAAAGCCATGCTACCTGAAGCAGACTTTCATTAAAATAAAAATAAGATAGGGAAAAAATTATTTTTCTGTTGAAAAGTTCAGACAGGTTGGGCTTTTTTTTTCTCCACAGAAAATTACTGCTTCTGCAATTAGTGTGTTTTAAAAGGTCCAGAAGGTTAGATTTTCAAAAGCGTAAATGATTGTTAAGAGTTAGTCTTAACTGCTTTTTGTGCCTTTTGAAAGTCTCCTCTGGAGAAGATAAAATACCTTGTAACATTTTTATTATTAATTAGTATGTATAAGTCATTAAAATATTTTGTCTGACTCCTGACCCTCTCTCCAATTTAATGCAGTGCAGGCAGTAGGAAAGTGAATACAAAATTCAGACTTTTTTTTCTTTTTTTTTTTTTTTTTTCCAGGGGCACAATAAAATCATAATCTACAGCAGACCTGTGTATTTCTGTATATTGTGTGGCCTTATTTTGCTGCTAGATGCTGGATCAAAAGACACAAATCCTCCAGTTTATACCATGTATGGCTTGAAGCTCTTTTCGCCTAGATCTCTCCAGTCAGCCAGAGACCATGTAATAGGTGAGTCAATATTTTTCCTAGGACTGTAAAAATGAATTAGGCATTAGCCGGGGAAGTCCATGTTTTCCCATGCTGGCAATCAAATCCATGTTATAGAGGCACAGCTCTAAGTCAAATTGATAGAAACATTTGGAATGACTTAAGACGGGGGCGGGGTACATCTGGCAACCTTCCCTCATGAAAAAGGAGTTCTTAATGAAATTAGGCTCGTAGAAAAGTCTCTATAGAAAACTTAACAGTCACTGATATTATTAGCAAAAGACATCATCTGTGAAATGCAGTTAATCTTTGTAAGGGTTTGTCTGTGCGGAGCTGTTACTGCAGAATAAGCTGAGTTTTAAATTTAGTGCCTGGAATCTAATCCGCGCCAAGTCCTCAGGTGGACATTCTGCTCAAGAAAACCACTCTTTTTCTTGGTTGGGTTTAGTTTGTCTTGCTGTCCACGTGATGAGTTAGTGTGGAGTGCCCACTGCGCAGTACCTCTTCCAACCTGTTTCCTTCTGGAGTTGTACCCAGAAGTGGCTGAGGACATTCAGGTATTGCCCCAAAATGGGACTGATGAGCCTTTGACACTAATGTGGAGCGTCCACAGCTGGAAGTGTCCTGACAGAATGGGGTATTTCTTCCCGTTCCACACTTGCAGGTCTGTAACTGTTGTGCTGCCCTACTCGTGTCACAGATACAAATGCTGAACTGGGCTCAGGTCAAGTAGTGCAACACTGTTAGGTATGGAGTAGAAAAGTTAAAGTTTACTGTAACAGTTGTAAAAACTTCCCAAGAGTTGTGTCACGGTGTACCAAAGATGACCCACTGTTTTGTGAATTTAGAACCAGGAAACCTACTGTAGTAGAAGAAAAAATGTTTTGATATAGAGTGTATGACCTTTGGGGTCTTTGTCCACCTGTGACTGTTATACTTGTTTTTTGCTATGCTCATGTCAGGCTATTACTGCCTGAAAGGCATACTGTTTTTAAGAAAGTTATTGGTCCTTTATATGGGTTCATTGACTCCCTATCCTTCTCACCAGAAACAGGGGAATAATGAAGACCTGCATCTCACTTATTTTCATTAGCTTTTTTCATTACTTTCCTATGGTCTCATTAAAGTTTCTTCTTACATCTTATTTTCCCTGCTTGACAAAGGTGAACAGTAAAAATGCTGATAAATAATTCAACAAGAATCTTAAATGACTCTTGGGATAGAGATAAATGAAAAACTATTGCAACCAGTATAAGAAAAAAAAAAAGTGTGTTTATAAATGTGCTAATTTTGGCTAGCCTCAAAAGAGATGGTGGAGCAGGTTCCTGAAACAGCCTGGGGGGGTGGTGGGGGAGAGAGGAAATACAGGCTCATCTCCCCACTTGGCATCTGTTTAACGAGAGAGGGAGAAGAAACCACTGTTCTTACCTTGACGGCTCTGGCAGCTGGCACATCTGTGGGTGTGTTCAAGTGATGTTTGGTGCTGTGCTCTGGTAATTCCTTGCTTTGCCTCTATGGAAATCTTGGCTTCTGGCTGACATCAGTCCTTGCAAGTGGTCACAGGGCAGCTACTTCCCTAAGCCATGGCAATCAGCATCCTCCAGCACCTCGCTGCACTTTGAGTGCAGATTCCCATAGACACTGAAGTTATAGAATTGTTTGGGGCAGTATGTGTTTTGGGAGGGAAGCTGGCCCCACTGAATACCAATATAATGTTGCTGTTGTTTTGTGGTTTTGCCCCTTGGTTAGGTGTTTTTGAAGTCTTTTTATTGGCTTGTCATATGGTAAATTTTTAATTTGTATTTTACTCATAATTTATTGTAGTGTTCAGAGTTGATAAGTTGGGAAATAAAACTGTTTTTGACTATGCACTACAAATACCGAGGAAAGGAAAAGTTTTCTGTTTCAGGTGTTTACTGTGGTAAGAAGCTAAAGTGATGGAAATCATAGAGAGGACTTACTAAAGAACTAGTGTGATACTGCATAGCACACTATGATAAAAGTATTGAAACAAGGTTATAAAAGAAAATCAGTGGAAATTTGTTAGATGTGTAACCTAATTACTTAAGAAATGTGATTTTTAACAGGTCCATTTCTTTGCAGGCAATCTATTCAGGATTGGATTCTGTTTTATTTTAGATTGATGGTGGTTCTGCTATTGATGTATATTATTTGGGGGATCATGGCTTTAATTCATTCTAGCTATGGTTTTAATCTTGAATTCCTTGTTTCAGTTGACCTTTTTGCTAGATTAGCATACATAGTGTGAGGGAACAGACCGCGCCAACCTCGGTCACTGGGTGCTACAGGTGTGGTTAGTTGACAAAAGTAGTTACGCATTTAAAGAATGATAGGTTTTGAGATGAAACCATTTAAGCATTAGACAGATGAGTGAAATTATTTGGCAGGCATCTCAGAAGAGTAAGTATCAGGTGATGGCAAAATTTTGTGATAGCAATGACTGAGCATCTGCCAGGGGAAGAAAGCCTCTGTGAATGTTATCTTCTGCTGTGTTCAGGGGGGTGAGAACAAAAAGACTATTTTTCACTGAAATAATGCATTTTTTTTTCCCTGTGAAAAAGTATGTATTATTACACAGCAAATGGACCGGTACTCAGATATAGCTGCTTTTTAATAATAATTTTCTAAACTTCTAAAATGCTTGCAGTGACATTGTCACAGAGTTACCATTCTACATTTCTCAAATGGCCCAAAGCTTCCAAAGCCAAAAATTGTTTCCCCCTACACTTATCTGGTAGCTACTCATTTAGAGGAAACCTTCAAACTGCAATGTTAAATGATAGCAGCTCACATAAGCATCTCTTAGTGGTCCAGCTCTTAAAGGTGTTGTTCTGTATGGAAATATGTGATGCTTAAACAGATTCTCTCTGGAATCCATAATGCAATTCCAGCTGATTAATCAGTTACTTTTATTATCTGCTTCCCACAAGGGAAACTACTGCTCCTAAATTCAATCCTTTTGTAAGTGTTTATTTACCTCACTGGTGAGATAAACAAAACTACCTTAGCTAAAGAAATTGTTAGGATTATTCAAGGTATTAATAGAGAGAGGATGAGGTGAGGACATTGCTGTAGTCACCCAACTTTTCCCTCCTTGTTACATTCACCCCTATATATTTTGGTGTACTGACAGTATAATGTCTTTGGTCTTGTCCTTCCTTTCCGTGCTCTTATTCAGCTTCTTCTGAGGGTGCTATAGCAAAGGCAGTTATTTGTACTGGAAGTCAGTAGTCTAAGATGAGTTCTAGTAGTTCTGCAAGTCCTTTGCCCAAGGAACAAGATCTCCTGTGAATTTCAGCAGTGATTTTTTGGGATAGTTGATCCCATGGCGAGTCCCTATTGGCCTGCTGGGCAGTTTGTTGTCATGCCATTGTCTCTCTTCACGAGTGGTCCTTCATATGGCTTGGTGGAATATCTGAAGGAAGAACAGAGTAGTAAAGGAACAGGAAATTCATAATGGCATTTGCATGTAAAAGATTGAGAAGACAGTGTTTCCTCATGTTCTTAGGTGTATATAATTTGTGCCAGCGACAGGAAGTCGTGATGAAGGGTGCATTGTTAAAGCAAGTATACTTAAGTGAGCCCTGTCTGTGTTTAACACTTGAGTATGTCATTTTTTTTCTCCTGTGTTTGACTTCCTCACCAAGATTTACAATATTAGATAGCAGTAGTGTATAATAGGATGAAGATAAAAGCTGTCAGATCAAAATCGGTGCATTGTTTTATTTCAGCACAAGATGCATTAGTAAGAGGAGCTGGGAGTAAAATGTGAAATTAGCATTCAACAAAGAACACAAATCCTATTGTTACCTTCTTAAAATTTGACTTGGGTGGGAAGGGGAATAAGTTGTGCTAGTGATTTGTTTAATTTGCTTTTTATGAGAATGAATAGGAGGAAACTGCAGTCTTCCTAGCATGTCAACTAGCAAATACATACTTGTTTATGACACACATCTTTCTCTTTCACTATGCAGAACATTCTGGTACTAGTACAACGAAGCAGCAAGAATATGATTAAACGTGTGTATGTGTCCTTGAAAGTTGACAGTATTGGAGACTTGGGTCAAGTGTGTGTTTAGATGCTTTGCTGGACAACTGTGCTTGGCATTTTCTAGGGTGGAGCTAAGGGTAAATGGATGGGAAGGGGTGGCTGGAAATGAACAGAACATCGGACTAGCAACACAATTACCCAAATTATGACTCCTGGTTTTCCTTGAGTGTAAGGCAGACATTTCAATTAGCATTTCCGTTTAGAAAGAGACTATATAAAGATATCAGACGGGGTTTTAAACCTGAGTTTCTTTGCTGTTTTTAATGGTCTTTCACTCCTGCAAAGTCAGAATGCATCCTGCTGGAAGCTAGGGAAATATTCTGGGGAAGTTTTCCCATAGGTTTGTCCCATTTTTATGTGCTGCTTTAAGTGTCTGCTGTTGAGTGCTGGCAGAGACAGGGTACTGTGATAGCCAAGATACTTGGGATCTTAGCCATTAAAATATTTTCTGTTTGTTTATAGTTTATATTGAATTGTTATACATGTGCTTGAACCATCTCAGTTTCAAGGAGGAAGTTCCGAAGTCTGGAAATTAAAACTTGTGTACTTTAAATAGAACAAATACAACTTTGAAAGTGTTTGAAAAGCAGTAAGGAGACTACATAATGCTATTTTTTCTGCCGCTGCTTTTATCCAAAATAAAGCTTAAAGTTAACCTCTGAGCTTTAGTTTCTTACCTGTAAAACAGTGTAATTTATTTTCAATACCTGAGAAGGAAAGTGTAGTCGTTGCTGCTAAGGTTAAGGTATACTTACTCGAGTAATCTTCAGAATTTATTGCAACAATTTCTTATTCTGGTATGATGCCTGCTTCTCTGTTCTTCATACATTGTGATGTATGACTGTGTTCTAACATGCATCTTCTTTTTTTCTTTAGTGTTTTTATATTGCTTTCCTGCAATTTCCCTTCTTGGTCTTTTCCCTCAAATCAACACCTTCTGTATATATCTTTTGGAGCAAATAGACATGTTACTTTTTGGCGGTTCTGGTAAGTAGCCAGTTGCAGCCTGGGCTATCCCTTTCTGGGTTTACTACCTTATTTTAGAGTATATTATTGCATGTTTTAAAGCATGGTGCATATTAAAGCTCAAACAGCTAATGGTGTTCATATAGCAGTGGGGTGAATACTAATAAGACTCCCTTGTTTAGATTTCTTTTTTTCTTTTGAAAAGACGTATACAAGTTGTGCTATAGGCTGCAGAATGTGGTTGACATCAAAGAGCTCTTTCTTGGCATGTCTGATGTGAATCTTTGCTATATTTATAAACAAAGAAAAGCTTTATAAAAAGTGTTCTATGTTAAAACTAATTTAAAAAATAAAAATAAAAAAGTGTGCTTTGTTCCATAGTAAGGGATGTTCACAAGGTATTGGATGTGTGTTTTTTTGGTATTATTTCAGTCAGAGATTAAAAAAGGCCTGTGAGAGACAATACATCAGTTTTCTGTTGGTAGTGGTTGGATTTGGTTTTTGTTATAGCTTAAGTAACAGAGAAGATCAGGATGCATCTACACTGTCATCTTAGTTTGGATCGGAAACAAAATTTCCTCCTTGTTGCCACTTACCACATGTTGTTTTGCATCATGGAATGATGTCAGAGTATGCAAACTGGATTCCATTTGGGTGAAGCTTTAAAGTGTTTGCATTCCAGACACTGAAGAGCATACAGTCTGGGGGACCAGACTAGAGATACTCTGCAATAAGGCATCTCAAACGTGTATAGCATGGATATAACATCCTCAGCACTTTCATTCCACAGACCCACACTTACTGCATTGTTCTGCTTGCTGCTGTAGACATAGCCTTTGGCAAATGGTTAAAACTGGTACAGATGATACGGGTGTTCTTTGCTTTTTGTCTCATAAATACCATAGCAGACCTGGAGGAAATAACATGCTGGATAAAGTCCTCATCCTGTCAATAATCATGATTACAGCACGGTTTTGCAGCCTCTCTGTCTCCATTGTTGAGACTGATGAACTCCTAATCATGACTGGCAGCTTTTCCTACCATGCTTCTGGAAGCTTTCTAAGGAGGTTGTAGCAAGTGATCAGCTGGCATCCTTCTCTCTCCCTTTAAGTTCATTCCTGTATCTTAATATGGTGAAGATCATGGTTGACTGAGCAAGTTAGGGTGCTTTTGGGTGATACCAGAACCTGTGTCTCCGGAGCAAAGGGAAGGAGGAAAATTCCACATGGAGCTTGACTAGAAAATTGCCAGTTTTGGAGATCACTTCATTGCTCCAACAACATGAAGAGGCGTGCTGATGTTTTGGCAAAACAATGTTCAGTACATAAAGCAATAGTGTGGGACCTCAGGTCAATGGAAAAGACATGGAGTACAGTGGCATTGGGCTTTCAGTCTTAGCTGCAAACAATTTTGGGAGCTTGTTTGGAGAACTGAAGTCATTCTCTCAACAACCAGTTTTGTGTTATCTGATTTTAACCTCTATACCTCTTGTGATGCAAGAACTGTTTCATATTTTTCTTTTGATTGCATGTTCTCATTTAGGAAGAAATTAACTAAAATGTAATGTCTGTATTTCAGCTGCTGCTGGGTTCATATCTGCACTGTACAGCGTTTCCCGAAGCTTTGTTGTTCTGATTGTCCTATATGCTTTCTGCTTCAGTGCAGTGAAGGTAAGCCAGAAAAACAACATTGCAAAAATGGAAAATTTCAAGCTCAAAATTAATATGATCTAGGGAGAGCAGCATTGTTTGGTGCTGCATTGTTGTTGTTTATCAAGATAAGCTTTACAAGCCATGCTTCAGGTTCTGGCTATTAGCTACACTAAAAGGGATTGAAAGTGTAGTAGAAATACTGGAGTAAATGTGTGTCTAATACCTGTGACAGTTTTGCCTCTTGCATGTATCAGTCTGAAATGATCCATTGGATTTCCGCTACAAAGACTAACAGCAGCCTTGGCTTAAAAAGCTGCAACTCCTATTGACTTGTATAAGCTGGGCTGAATTTTGTCCAAATTCCTAGTTAAGTCTGTATTTCCAAAGGGAAAAAAATAGAGGATTTTGTTGTAGCTTCATAACAGTATGCCTAAGAAGTTAAATGCCCAGCTTGGGCAGACCAATGAACCATCTAACCCAGTAGTGTCTGCACAGGGAAATGCAATTTAGGAATTTAATGGAAGTACTTGTTTCCATAGTAGTCCACCAGTATCCATGATTGTTGGATTAGGGATGTTGGAGAGTGTCCCTGCTTATTTCATTTGGTATCTGTGGACTTGTTGTCTATGAATTTGCTGAGTCCTTTCATGAATGTGCTGGTGTTATCTGTCTCCACAACTCTGTGCCAACAAATTCCAGGTGTTCACTGTGCTCTGTGCTGTCCTTCATTGGTTTTAAACTGATCTGCTAATTTCACCAAGTCTTCCCTATGGCTAGTATTGCAGGATTTGGGGAATAATTGTTCTGCACTCACCATATCTGCTTCTTTCGCAGTTTTGTAGGCATCAGCCATACCCCCCCAGCCATCCTCTCCTTAAACTGAAGAGTCTAAGCCTTTCTAGTGTCTACTTGTAAAGCAGCCGCTCTCTCAGGAGTAGCTAAGTTAGTTGCCGTACTCTCTGCCTTCTCTTACTCCATTGTGACCTTCAGATGTGGAGAGTAAGTTGGTGTGGTGCTCAGGATGCAAGGGTGCCAAAAATGACTGGTCACCTTGTTCTTGGTACACTTCCCCGTGATGCCCAACGTTGTTTTTTTTGGCAGATGCTGCTTTTTGAGCCATACTTAATCATTTACTTTTTTGCAGTTAATGTATATGTCCTCCACATTTTTTGTTTTATTTAAAAAAATAGCAATGAAAATTTTTTTCTGCCTTCAAGTCTGCTGTAAAATTCCCAGTGACCACAGCAAGACCAGAATTTTAGCAAGACTTGTGATAAAATTTATCCTTTAAGGGACAGTCTTTTGACAGTGTTTCATTACAGGCTAAGTGCTGTCAGTGCCCATGCAGGGGTGCACCAGGATGTGCAGTGGTTTCCAAGCCACTCTTGACATCTTGCAGGCATACGTGAGAGGATGTTTTGTGGTGCTACATGTGCATAGCACACAGAGATCCCAATATGAGGTTGCACAACAGCTCAGGATGTATCGTGTCAACACTCAGGCTGGCGATTGACACAGATGAGAGAGGTGGTCAGATGTTTCTTTAAGGGAATTCTTTAAGGAATGTAGGCATTTCTATAATGGCTTTTAATAATTTTCCACTTAAAATTTTGAACAGAAGCCTTAAATCAAAAAAGGTCAATTATAATGCCTCAATGATCTCTCACAGGTGATCAGAGCTGCCTGTGCACGTGTTTTTAACCACTCCCAATAGTAAGGTAAAATGTGTAAAGCCACCATTTTATCTTGCCCCTGGGTGGCTTGAGTCCATACACAATAAATTGTGGCAACTCAGCTGCTGAGCAGTGCTGCATTAACACACTTTAAATGTCTTTGAACATGTGGTGTGCTCCCAGGGAATCTCCTGTTGCCAGGCTCCACCAGTATATCAGTTATACTGGTTTGACCTCACACAGCTGTGTGATGCTAGAAAGCTTAACTGCCTCTTATGAGGTTTCCTAAAGTAGGTGGTAGGTTTCCAGCTATATTAATGGTTCAGAAACTGGCAGCTGGGATGGACAAGGTGGATCTCTGTAAGGATGAACACAGAAAATATATATAATGGGTGGGGAAGAAACAATGAGAAAAATGGAAAGAGCTGTATGGAAGGAAGGAATTGAGTTAAACCACTGTTCAACAGGCAGATAACTGGGGAGAGGATTGTTTTTACCCCTAAGATTAGCAGAGGGCAGTTCACTAGTTGAGGGTGGGGAGGTTGTGTGATGGATACTTTAAAAAATAGTTTTGTAAACAGTATTAAAGAAGAGTCTCTTAAAATATTCTACAGACTCCTTTCTCAGCATAATACTTTAAAATTACAGCATGCAGGTGGCTTTGTAGATAAGCAATCTCCTTGTGGATTAGACTTCAAACTGCTTAGAAATATGCTTTTTATGCTACCCTGAAGTTGTAGAGTGCTGTGAAAGATTTACAAGATATCTGTTGTAAATTACCAATATTAAGTGCAGACTTTCTGTTCACAGAGAAATTATACAGTTAATTTGAATTTTTATGGCACTGTTCTTGTGAAGGCACTTCTGAGGAGGTTAATTTAAAGCATGTAAAGATGATTCCACTTGCTCCAGCTCATAATCTCAGTCTACTGGGGTGCTTCATACATTTTTTTCTTCTAGAAGTTATGAAATAAGCACTTGTGTTGACCCTCCTTGTTCTTTAGTCAGGTCCAGAGAGTTTTTTTTTCCTTTTGTAATGTTGTCTATAACACTGCAAGGGAATGATTCTTTGGTTGGCGGAGGAGGAGTAGGAATTGGCCTAAATGTAAGAGAAGAATCTGATCCTGAATAGGGACCACTTTGAAAAGTGGTCTAGTACCCCTGTAAGAAACTAGAACTGTTTTGATGTTTAGAGAGCAAAAACTTCTGATCCTAATCAAATGAAGGTTTGGACTTTTGGTCTGTTAGAAATTGCAGAGTTTAACTCAAAACTGCGCAAATGGTATAGTCTGTTTCATTGAGGTGTTTGCACAACAAAAATTTCTTTGAGACAGAAATTGTATGCTTGCACTTTACAGATTTTATTTTTTATTTTTGTTTCACTCTTTTCACTTTTAGTCAATTTGACAAAACTAACAGAGCAAAATTTTCAATGGTTATGGAGGTCAAAAACTAATCACAATCAAAAAGATTCAGGGCAGGGAAACATGATAGACTCTCTCTGGCACAGGATTTCTGGGTTGCAAAGCTTATTTCTCGGCTGAAAGGTAGCATCCTGAAATGTAAACTCTGTTTATTGGCAGAACATCGTATAGCTCAGCAGGTGTAGCTAGCAGAGTTCTATTTCCTGAAATAAATTGCAGAGGAGAATGGATCTCTAAGTGGTTGTGTGCTTTTTACTGGTGAACAATTGCTCACATCAAATGCACAGGCTGATGAAGACCCATTCCAGTGGTATCAGGCTTGAGCCTTTCCTTCCTGAAGTGGTTCTTGTGTTCTAATTATTTGTTATCTTGCAGGGTGAAATAGCCTAGCCTCATTTCTCTGTGTACGTTAATTATTCCAAAAGGAACGATATTATTCCTGAAGAAGTTCATTAGAAGAATAATTAATTTACCACCTTTTTCTTATTAAAATAAATAATGTTAATTTTTCTAATAGGTCGGTGTTCTTAAGTGAGTTTTTCTTGTTCATTTTTAGAACAGAAGGTATCTATATGTACGTACAATAGTTTGATTTAGTTGCAGTCAAATTTTGAAATTATTTTAGAATAGCAAATTCACAGCAATTAATTCTTTGCTCTAGATCTCCAATTTTAGAAAAATTAAATAGTAAGAATTGAGCAGTTGTTTTGGGGTATGTCCACAAAACAGTGTAAGTACTCAAGTTAACTTTCAACATGCAAATATAAGCTCTGAGAACTGAGACGAATAGGCCTGACCTGAAATCCTGTGCCTTGTCCAGGGTGACATTGCTGTTGAATTACGTTGTACAAAACCAGCTGAGAGACTCTATGAGAAGGCAGCTGCAATATAGATGTATCATTAGTTTAACTTAATAATTGCCACTGATTTTTCTGTTCAGATAAGTTGCCTGAGGAAAATAATTATCCAGTATTCTCATTTGAGAGTTCATCCTGTGATCTACAGACAAAATTTGGTGTGCCCAATGAGTTCATCTGGCCCTGTTGCTCTTTCTGAGGGAGTTTTGCAGCAACATCACAGTTGCACGACCAGAAATGTTTCTCTCTCATGACTAAAATGCACATATCTCCACAAGAGGATGGACAGATCTCTGGTCTTATGCTAACAGTGGATGGGCAGGTTGCATCATGCTGGCAGGCTGCTCACACGTCCTGTCACAGGCCTTGATCGGAAGCATATGATGTGTTTTAGGGGGTGGCTGCATATGGCTCGCGTGGCGACATGGTGTTATGTGACCAAACACACGCTCCCCACCCAACTAAAATACGGGGACAATCTGTTACAAGTCATCGTGTGATGGGGAGGCCTGTGTTTGGGTTCTGTGACTCTGGCACTTGAAGGAGGAAGAGGGACACGTTGTTTGGAGGTGACTGAGAAGCAAAGCTGAAGTGTGAAGACCTGAGTTTCTCCTGCTTGCTTTGAGATTTTCGTTATCTCCCAGGCCTCTGTTGAATGATATCATCACTCCTTATTCCAGTTCTTCCCAGGTCCTCTATGGACTTCCATTTATTTGCATTTAATAAAAAGCTCTAAATCCTAAACCTGGTTTTATCACCTCTTTTGGTTATTCCTTGGATTGTTGCATCTAATACCAGCCATTTTTCAGCTTGGTGCTTTTTTGAAGCTATTGGGTAACTGGTTTTGGTTTAAAATTATCTGTGTTCACTTCAGCCTGGCTTTATTTCTGATCTCATCTTCAGTCCTGTAATCTTGAACAGAAATCGACAGCTCTAATAGCTACCTCAGCTTTGATTTGTGTAAGTGTTATCTCTCTTTCCTGGAGGAGGTGTTTTTATTTTCAGGTATTATATCCATCAGCTTGGAGACACAGGAACTTCTGTGCCATCTTTTTCACTTGACTAGAATTAGCCTGATGTGCTGATTTTTGTCTCCTGCTCCATCTGTTTTCTGGTCTGTGCCCAAATATTTAAGAGATATTTAAAAAAAAAAAGTCAGGTATGCCCTCCTACTTTTTCCACAAATATTCAGTTTGGAATTTAGCCATCTTGATATTGGTCGTTAGCATTCCAGCACACCAGTGTTTTGCTGTGGGGCAGGAGAGCACATCCCTGAAGGTTTCTGGAATCAGTCAGTCCTCCTCTTCTGCCTTCTGTTCCAGTCAGCTGGTTTGGATTTGAAACTTATCCAGAACCTGTTAATTATTTGTTAATAATTTGTTTGTTTGGGTTTTTTTTAAAACTGCTTGAGGGACTTACAGTTTATCTGAATCAACCTGGAAAAAATTCGGGCTTTGGACTTGGGTCAGAAAAATTAAACTGATATGAATGTGTTCATATGTGGCACAGATGCCTCCTTCAGCTCTGTGTAAGTGCATATTTTTTTACAATGGAAGTTATATAGTTTCCATTACCTTATACTTGAAGAAAGTATTTTCTGGTAACCTGCTTCAGTGGACAGTTACTGAAAATCCTGTGTGTATTCTAAACCATTCTCAGCTTACAGTGATGTATTCTGGTTTGTTGTTTAATGAGTTTTAAACTCATTAATCAGGATAACAATGCTTCTTGATTCCTGTTTTCAATGACACAGGCTTCATCTGTGTACTAATAATTTTGAAATATTTGTCTTAGGGTTTTATAATGTGAAAGAATTGCAAGCATACGTCTCCCTTAATCTGCTAAGGCTGCCCAAACAAATTTCTAGACAGCACTGAATGAGCCCTGGTGTATAGACAGAATTCCCAAATGTGTAAGTGACCAAAAATAGAAGTATAGGATTATTAGACAGCCTTGTTTCTACCACATAAAATACTTCCAGCCCTGTTGGAGGTTTTGAAGACAAGGTTCATCGATTTTATGTACTTTCCAATTTAGAGACCCTTGAGGTTCAAGCAAGAGCTGTTAGGAGTGTTAATTTTTCAGAGAATTGTCAGATACCACGCGTTTCAGTGAGTGATGTTTGCAGGCACAGTCAGACTTGCACTTTAGTCATAACTTCAATAGTTATGCTCTTTGTTTTCTGTGTGTATAACATGAACTTATTGTCCAGATATAACAGTAGTAGTAAATTAGGTCTGCAGAATCTGATATGGCCCAGGGTTACTCTTACAGAAGTATGTCACTGTATAGGAATGTAGAAATCTACACTTCTTGTTTAGGATAAACTCACCATTATGTGAAATATGAGTATCCATGCCCCCTGCCTGTTGTTGCTCATCTTAACTCTCTAGCCAAGGAATCCTAGTCACAGACTTGGACCCTCTTGTGTAAGCTGGTATGCACACCCATGCATGAGTCCCATTCTTGTGGATTTTAAATTTCAGCAATGAAAATATGGTCACAGATAACAGCTGAGAGGGCAGAGAAACGGAGACAACATTGCTCAGAATGTGTAGTGAAATTTGTATTCTGGTAGCTTATCACTTGTCGGGTTTTTGCAAATCTTCTGGGAAAGCAGTGGGTTTTTTTCTATGGTTGACGGGAAGATAAGGCTGGTGGGCATCTCTCCCTAGAATTTGTCTCTAACCAGTGTAAGCAATAATTCATGTTTCCTGCTTGTTAGTGTTCACTGAAAACAAGTATCCATGGTAATATAGTTAAGCTTATAGTTAACCTCAACAACAAGTTGTTGTTACCATTTTCTCCTACCTTTGGGGGTGAGGGGAGGATTCACTTTTACAGCCTCATTCAGAAAGTTTTTGTATGTTCGGATATAGGATTATAGTATTTCTTTCCATTTACCATCACACGGGGAATGGCTGACCATCAACAGCTGTCCTGCATTTTGTTTGATATGTACAATAGCACAGATCTGTGATGAAGCTGGGGAGTGGAAGTAAAGAGAAAGCCTCCCCCAACCACCCCCCCCCCAAAAAAAAAAAAATTAGTTAAATAATTATGAAATCACAAGAGAGTGGAAAATTAGATGATGTCTGTTCTTTGTGGAGAAAAACTGGAGTTTGCCTCCATATTTAAAAAGCCAGTCAGTATGCAGGCACCTTCCATGCTGCTAATGCTACAGAAATCTGCAAAGTCTTTGAGTTAAGAGGAATATTCTGTTTAAGGAAAAAAAAAAAAAAAAAAAAAAAAATAAAGAGCTGTTGACACCTCAGGGATATCTCTAGCAAGAATTTCTAAAGAGTTCTAAAGAGTTTCTGCTTACCAGACTGGTTCTGCTGTGTTCAGAGCACTTTTTGTCTCTGGAGTAGGACATATGATTTATTTTAGCATATCTTTGAAAGGTAAGATTTTGCTATGTGCTTTTTTTTTTTTAAAGGAAGAAAGAAGTAAAAAGGATAATTAATGTAGGACAGAAAAATACCATTGCCACTTTTTAAAAATATATTTGCATCCCCACCTTTACAGGTGGTAAAAAGCTTATAAGTTCAAAGACACCTTTATCTCCCTTTTTAGTGGGACATTTTGAGATTAGGCAATTCTGTGGTTGAAATGTAACACCACCACCCTAACCACGGGGTCTGTGGTAACTCATCACTTTCATCCTTAACCCTGTAAGTCCATTTCACTTGTCTTAAACATGGCTACATGAGTGTCTGCATCAAAGTCAAAACTGTATATGAAAGCACTGTATATGTCACCTCAACCAAATGAGGTAAAGTAGGAAGTCAAACTCCCTGTCTAGTGTGACAGATAATACCAGCTTCCAAGACTAAAACCTGTCCTTCG